GAGAAAGTTTCTATTTATGTATTGCATCTCGTTTGTACCTCAACTTGAACTCTATTACTCTCTCTCTCTCTCTCTCTCTCTCTCTCTCTCTCTCTCTCTCTCTCTCTGTCTTTTCCTTTCACGGCTCGTTACTTCTTTAGGGCCAAACATCGCAGCTTTTGAAGCTCTTTGACCGTAAGATCCCATGTTAGTAAAGGAAAGCGATCTATAAGAATTTTCGATGATTCTCACTCTGGCCAATCGACCAATCGGCAAGCTCACTCCCTTTTCCCATCAGCGATAGGTATCCCTAAGGGTTCTATGAATCCCTTCGCTGATTCGAATCTCTCGAAATACGCGAAAGATCCGGTTGGTCCGCGTTACTAGAAGGAAGGTCGCTTTCGACCGTAGTTTCGGTAAAAGCTTGACAAGCTTTCAACGAAATATGTCCGAGAGTAACACCCAAAGTCGATGGCTGAACTCCCAGATCGATTCAGTTTACTCTTCGATGGTATTCAGTAGTATATATATATATATATATATATATATATATATATATAGCGTATCGAATGCGGCGACACTGTTATAAGCTTTGCTTTCGTGATATTCGATAAACACCATCAAAGGAAAACCTCCCGTTGGACATTCGATGAGCTTTCGACTCTGTTCATCATTTCTCTCCTTTAAAATCCACTATCGATCGGATAAACCACCTATCGCTCGTTGCATTTCCTTCATTTTTTTCCTACCCCCACCTTTTCAACTCCGACCTCCCGACAGAACCGCCCACCCGCCCATCTCCCTCTCTCTACGATCGTATCTATTTCTCCTGTACCGTTAGAACGTCATCCACCGTGAAAGCAAATATAATAACTTTGGCGAACCATCGAAAGCTACAACTTCACTCGAAGAGTTTCCGTTTGCTATGAGTGCGTACTTACATACTATAAAATTTACCAAGCACATTTATATACATATATATATATATTTATTTATTTATCTATATATCTATTCGTCTTTCCATCTACTTACATATTACGTGTATTAAACCATCCTTAAACGACGCTTTTGATCAGCTAAACTTGACTATACTACGCTTGAGAATCATCTTCAACGGTGAAAATCATTTATGCTAGGAAAGGCGTAAGAGGCTTTCGATTATATCTCGCTCGATGCGCTACTAGTGGTTGCGACATTGGGATTAGCCGGCAACTTCGAAGCTTAAAGGGAGAATCTCGATCTTAAGAATAGGTTTTACGTTGATCCTAGGTGAATACTCTGATCTAACTTCAAGAACCATGTCATAACTTTATCAATGATGAAAGGAAAAAGTAAGATGAGAGTAAGAGAGTAATCGGTTACAACGATGAGATCTAAAAAGGACGAGAAAAAGAACAAGAGAAAGAGAGAGAGAGAGAGAGAGAGAGAGAGAGAGAAAGAAAGAGAAGAAAAAAAACAAGCAAACACTTGATCTCCTTGAAATTTACAAAACACATTTCTACGTGACTACTCTTCTCTGGTGGCTTAGATAAAAGAAAAAGAAAAAAAAAATAAAAAAAAGAAAAAAAAAAGTAAAAGTCGATAACTAAAGCAAAATAAAACGAATCTCTCAGGTCGAAGTATTTTTTATAGTTACTTTTTAAAGAGAAAAAAACAAGCCAAAAAAGATTCGAGTTTTTTTTTTTTTTTTTTTTTTTCTTTTTTTTTTTTTTTTTAAAGACAAGCGCACGTTCTTGATTTTACGGAAATCTTCGTGACTTAACCGAACGGGAGTGAGTAGCAAGTTTTACGAGAACCGAAAGGGGGAAAGATACGTACCTTTTTTAAGGAGGGGTTAAAGGAGTCTATCTACTTAAATTGGAACCGATTCCATGAGGTCAGCGATGGCCAAGACTTCTCTATTTATCGTCTAACTTACTCACGCTACTTCTCGTCCTTCTCGTCGTTCTCGTCCTTCTCTACTACGGTAACATCCAACCTCCGAGAAAGTCGACCGGTTTAACGGAGCATGCCGAAGGAGAAGCTTAATCGTAAATACCCTAGTGAGCCAAAGGAGCCGGATATAATTTCAGACGTGAATCCTCGTATCCGTGCTGTCACGTCTTTCGGTATTCCCTTTTCCCCCTCCTCTTCCTCTCTCTCTCTCTCTTTCTCACTCTCTTACTCTATTACTCTCATGAGAGGAAGAATAGTCCTTCTTCGTGAAATGTCTTATACTGAAGGTGTACTTTGCTTACCTCTTTGTCCTATCTCTCTGTTACATGATATTCCTTAACAGACTACTACCAATTCAATATATATATATATATATATATATATATATATATATATATATATATATCAAGAAATATAATCGTAGAAAGATAATAATCGATGACAAGATAAAAAAAAAAAGAATCATTTATCTTGTCTATTTTTATTTTCCATCCTTTTTCATTTTCTCCCTTTTTCTTTTTCCTCCGTGATATAACTATTATTTCTATTCACAATCAGTTCGATGCTAAATAAGGGATATAACTGACTACGACCATTGGATAAAAAGGAAGGGAAGATGAAACAATGACGGGATCGTTAAGAGTAATATCTTGCAATTAAATGTCACCTTTCTTCGTCATAATAATTTAACGAGAAAGTTATCTTTAGATCCATGTAGATCTTTACTTCGGTTTATTGTACATCTTGATATTTTAATTTCATTAAAATTGTCGTAACGCATTTCATCGTTTCAACCTACATAATACTACATGTATATCAAAAGTCGAGAAAATTATCTTTAACAAATGATTTTAATTAGATGTTACGATTAATGAATTAAAACGATATTAATCAATATAGACCGTTATTTCGATTTACCATAAATCTTGATATTTTAATTTCATTAAAATCGTCGTAACGCGTTTAATAGTTTCGACATACATAATACATGTATATCGAAAGTCTAGAAAGAGTTGAAAAAAGAAAAAAAATTGTGAGATTATTGGCGAGAACAAGAGCGTCGAACGTGAGCGTTAACTGCCTTTTTGTTCGTCGGGGTGGCGCCGTACACACTTTCGGTGAGATAGAATCCGGATAATGAAAGTGGTGGGGCGGTTGCAATTTGCACGCCGCGGGATTAAGTCCAAGTTTTTCCCCTTTACGGTCGCTCTTTATGTCCCTTTTATGCCATTTTAACGTTACTCAGGCGTTCTCTCTTTCTCACTCTAACACTCTCACGAGCACACCCTCCTCATTCGTCTCTTCTATATCCACCATCGTCCCTATCACCGTGACTCGGAATATACTATCGGCCGTGAACACGCGAGAACGAATACTAAATTTGACGTTTCTGCGAACTATGAAAAGTGTTATAACGTTAAGGATTACTTTTGACCACGTGAATACTTATTGTTACATTAAATTTATATACAGATACATTTTTCTTGTATTACTTTTCAAATCGATTTGTCCCATACATTTTTTAAATAAATATATTCGTAGATAAATTAATTATGCGAAAATTCGAATATATCGAAGAATTTTCCATTGGAAATGTTGTTAGTTAAATACTATCTATTGAAAGTAACGTACTGGATTATTTTTTGATCCTTTTTTTTTTCGACATCAAAAGAAACTCTCTCTCTCTCTCTCTCTCCCTCTCTCTCTCTCTCTTTCTCTCTCTTTACGTCTTGCTTTTTTAATTTGCACAAAATTAAAATAAAAGTAGGTAACCTGGTACTCATTAGTTCGCGTCCGTTTAAAGTCCGCTTAAAAAGCATAGGATTATAATCGTGCCACTGACGCTTATTTTTCCTTAAACTTTCTCTCAGCCTGTGTACTACCACTATTGCCAATTCCGCTTTATCCTGTTTCTCTAAACTCTTTAGATCTCCGTCTTTTCATTGAAATTTTCCTTCTATCCCCGTACCCCAGTTTTGTTTCTTCTTTATTTGCCCCATCCCACTCCTCATGGTTTTCTATTTCCTTTTTATTTATTTATTTATTTATTTATTTTTTTCTTTTCTTCATAACATCGACGCGAAGCATACTCTTCCGCGAATATTAATTTTCCATCCGTCCAATCGATACGCAACGAAACGAAACAACTAATTTCTAGTAGAGCAAAGTTTTTTGACTATTAAAGAATAAGCGTACGTAACTTAATGAATTTAACTTCTTGATCGTTAACTGCGAAAAGAAAATAAATATTCATCGTATAATATTCTATCTCGGAAGGTAAGAACTTAGAAAATTTTCCATAAGATTACCATAGAAAATAGATATATATTCCGGTAAACGTAGCCGGGGCAACAAATATTTAAGAATGCTCGTAATAATTTCCCGTCAAAGTTCCTCGGTTCAAAGTTTTTCAAAAAGTTTCAATTCCTTTCGTAAGGAAAAAGGAGTTTTCTACGGGGTTGGGGAGAGAGAGAGAGAGAGAGAGAGAGAGAGAGAGAGAGAGAGAAAGGGAGGGGGGCGAGGGAGAGAGAGAGAAGGTTTGCAAGAGAGAGAACTAGAAAATTTCAGGCCGGTTTATTTCTACGGGCGTTTTACTTCCCCCGAAAGACATTCGAATTCCTTCCAATTTCTCCGTAGGGAGAAAAAGGGAAAACTTCGGCCTTTCACGAACTTTATCAAATCTTTTTTGAAAATTCGAGTGGGTATGATTCCGATTTTCCGTAAAACGGACGGACGAACGATAACAATAAGTTAATTTATCTTTTATCCTATTGCCAAGTCCAATTTCTTCTTCGTAATTCCTTTACACGTTAGGGATTTTCACCATACACGTATATCCTACCCTTTCTCTCTCTCTCTCTCTCTCTCTCTCTTTCTCCCTTGTCATTTGATAAGCTCAATTTGTCCTCCTGAAAGGAATAAGGGCTCGACCAGAAATCTCCGAACGATATTACAAGGATTTTCTGAAATTCACCGAAAACTTATCCGTCTATAAAATTTAACGATTTTCTCAAAGAATCGTTACTATCATGTCGATTTAACCTTATCTCTTTCTCTATCGAACAAAACTCCTTTGATTGTTATAGGCGGAGATCGAAAATCGTGATATCCTCCGCGAAGCCCGAAGACAGCGGCAGATACGAGTGCATTGCCGAGAGTACTTCAGGTCACCGGGCCTCCCTTGCGGCCCAACTTCTAGTCGCACACGATACCAGAATTCCGGAGACAAGTAAGTACGACGACGTATCTTATGAAATAAATTGAATTTTTATTAGTTATCCCGGGGTAAAGAAAAAAAAAAAAATACTCTTTCATACAACTTTTCGTTAATGAAATTTTTAAAGATTAATTCGCAAATCGTATACTTTTTGATGTACTTCGATTACATTTTCAAAATGCAATCGGATTATTAGCGATAAGAAAGAGAAACGCTTTATATACAATACATTCTCGTACATTTAATAAAGAGAGAAAACAAAAAAAATATATATATATATATATATACACATTTAGATTTTTTTCCAAAATTTTCACAGGTCAAAATTTATCATAGATAAAAGTGTCCAAGCAAAAATGAATATTACATTGGTAACTACTAATAGGAATGACGTGACGTAACAAACTGACCACTACCACTGACTACGTAGAACCATTCGTCATTATACAACTAGCAACTTTTCGTGGGTAACCGCTGCTCGCCGCCAACGTGAGAGTACTCCGCTTGTCGGTAAAGTTTTCAAATATTTTGAGATTCGTGTTCCAGATATGTACGAGAGTCCGACAGTCACTGTTGAAAATGGAATGACGTTTGAAAAGATCCGGTACATGGCGGGAGTAACAAAGTTTTCATGATATTTTAATTAATACATATACAAATTGTTCTACCGATTTGAAAAGAATTATGTCCTGAAAAAAAAAATTTTTTTTGAAATGGGTCGTGTACGAAAGAAGAAAAAAAAAAGAACAGGAAGAAAGGAAGGAAGAGAGAGAGAGAGAGAGAGAGAGAGAGAGAGAAAAAAGGAAGAAAGAAAGAAAGAATAAATCGATACCAAGGACATTTCTTTTTTCTTTTCTTTTCTTTTTAAATTGTCCATGGAAAACGAAAGATCGTCGATCATTTTGTCCGGAAGAAAAATGAACTTGGTAGCGGAGCTTATACGACGAAATCCACGTTTATCCCCTTGTCGTTTCGCCATTTCCTGGATCTAAACGAAAACGAGCTAAGTCGCTAGCGGAAAGATCGCAACCGAGGAGACGTTCGGTACCGACGACGACGATGACGACGTCGCCGCCTCCATTGCCGCCGCGAACAAGTGTTCTTCCTACAAGAGATATACGAGGCTATCGCTTTACCGACATTGTGTCGTTTACGATGGTCATTTCGCGTAACGACGTGCTGGAAACATTCGCAGTATACATACATAAACGTCCGAGGCAGACCGCATTAATGCGAAACGCGTTGATCGATCGTCCTTTCTCCTCTATCTCTCTTTCTCTCTCTCTCTCTAAAAGACGAATCCGTTCGCGTTTATATACATCGTAACGAAAACTTTGACGATCCTATCTCCCATTGGAAATTGAAAATAATACGAACACACACACACACACACACACACATATATATATATATATATATATATATATATATATATATAGGCGAGGAGATAGCGATCATTTCTCTCTTATACGATTCCTATCTCTGTACAATCTCTTCGCTACAGGTGGTCATACATATGTACGCATATAAGCATGTGCATTCGAATTAAGTCCAAATCATACTTGGATTAATTCCAGGATGCACGTTCGCTCGAGAAACGAGAAACGTTTCGTCGAATTTGGTCGTTACGTTAGGTAGTAGAACGGCCTAAAGTCTGATATACTTAATCAGGATTAAATCGGGATTAGTACGTCAAACTAGTTGTAACGGTTTATAAATTTACAAGAGATTAAAGTTAACAATAAAATGCAAAGGCTTATAGGAGATTAGTTAATATCGAACGAAAGATGTTAAAGTTTAACATCTTCATATCGAATCTGTATACATAAATCTCAATTAAATTTTAATTACATATGTACGTATCTGTAAATATTTATCTGTATCGTGTAACATCATACTTATAGGCGATTAGTTAGTATCGAACGAAAGATGTTAAAGTTTAACATCTTCATATCGAATCTATATACATAAATCTCAATTAAATTTTAATTACATATGTACGTATCTGTAAATATTTATCTGTATCGTGTAACATCATACTTTATCTCGTAATTCAATCAAAATGAAGAGAAAAAGACTGGGAAAGAAATGTGACAAGAGACTTTTCATTTGGAGAAACAGTAGGTAGGTATGTCGCAGGTGATAAACCGAGGATTACGCACCTGATGCGATAATGCCTGCATGGTTCAGCGATTCGAGGTAGAACCGGCAAAGCTTGCGGTTCGCCGCTGCGCTCACGCCGCAAGCTCGTATGACGGACAAAGGACGACAATTACAACCCTGGCAGCACAGTGTCAGAGTTTCATATAGCTCTGGGCAACTGATGGCGGGTCAGCAGGCCGTTTCTCTGTATATCTCTCTCCCTCTCTCTTTATCTATCTGTATATATATATATTTCTCTCTCTCTCTCTCTCACTCATTCACTCTGTAACCACTCCAGTTCTATATACACGGTGACTCGACAAGTCCTGATCCGTTTCCCTCGCGAGACAGGCCTATAGTGAAATGGTAAAGCCGTCGTTTCACGTTCTGTGGCATTAAGATATCTGGCTCCCTTTATCTCTATTCAACCCCATCATTCGCTATTCTATTCTTACTCATTTACTAATTTCCTTTCCCCACAATACTCCCGTGACATGTTCTTTCTCCTTGCACGTGCTTTCGATCTAATCGATCCATTCCAATATCCAATCTCCATTTTCTTTCTCTCTCTCTCTCTCTCTCTCTCTCTCTCTCTCTCTCTCTCTTTCTCTCTCTCCTTCTCTTTCTCCCCTCCCCCATCATCATTATCATTGAGTTATTTGAGTTATTTGTACCTTACACGAGTCTCATATTGCCGTACTATGGAATACAAGCTATTTGATATTAAGCGACATCAAACGAATAAACGGATTTTAATTACGGCAAAATTTCATCTCGTTATCGTATTTTATATTATCCCATAAGTATCGTTTATCATTTAGAATTGAACATTCCTGCGGTAAAGTATAATGATATTTGTTTATTCGAGGTGTGTTTGTTAGCTAATTTTCGAAGTACCAATAAATAAATAAGTATACATTGGTAAAGGAATTATATTTGATTAAATGTACATCGATCGAACGATCGAACGATTTTCATTTAACAAATGAATCAAATATTATTATAACGTATTAACATCATATTTATTTCTATTGTAATTATTAAATGACGAACATTTAAATTTTGTTTAACTTAATCATTAAATCTTAATATTATAACTTCTTACTCTTAAAGGATCTTATTAAGATCCTTTGAAAAAGATTCAAACTCTCGTATCGTTGGACAAGTAGTTTGTATTAAATATTAGCCCTCGACAAAGACACCGTAGTACGATAACAAGCCGTTTACTCGATTCGTCAACTGCTCTAACTTACACAAAAGTAAGTTGGAAAGTGGAAGTACGGCGCGTTGCCCAAAGTTAACTTTGTTCTCGTAAATAACGAAATTTCAAATAACACAGCTGAGTTGTAATAGGCGAAATGTTTTCTTTTACGTTTAAGCATTTAATTTCATTTAGTAAAATACGTCAATGGCCATCCAACGGATATATTTGTTTTAAAATAACATTGCGATTAAGTAAATAAATTGTGCGGGGGAAAAGAGAAAAAAAAACAAAGAAAAAAAAAGGAAATGAAAAAGACGATGAAACTTAACTTATTGATTTAACATCGGAGAAAGAAAGGAACGAACGATTGTACAAAAATTATAATTATTGTTTGATTATCATTTTTTTGGTAAAAAAAAAAAAAAAAAAAAAGAAAAAAAAAATTTCAACGACGAAAATTCTCGATTACGAGATGTCACGTGATATTCGTCATCAGTACGGAACTGAAAATAATGGTGAGATGCGACGGAGACGAAAAGAAAAAAAAAACTTGACGACCCTTCCCTGACAACTAGAAAATCTGTTGAATGTAACTCCCTCATAGAGAAAGTACAGCCACTGGTGTTTCATTCTCTCTCTCTCTCTCTCTCTCTCTCTCTCTCTCTCTCTCTCTCTCTCTCCATCTCTCTCTGTCTCTCTCTCTCTCCATCTCTCTCTGTCTCTCTCTCTCTCCACCCTTTCATATTCCACATTAATGCCTACGCTTCGTGCTTAAGTTACGCGGCAGAAATTCTCGAGTGGCCAAACACTTAGCGTGTGAAGCGGAAGACTTGGATATTGCACGGTTGCAAGTAGTATTTCGTATTCCTTAGGCGTACATTTCTCTTTACGAGAGGGAGAGAGAGAGAGAGAGAGAGAGAGAAAGAAAGAGAAAATGGCAAAAATTATCGTTTGAAAAAAATATAAAGCTCGTGCTGATAAAATCCGATGAAATTTCAGTATAAAGTTTCATTTCTTTTTTTTCTTTTTTTCTTTTTTTTTCTTTTTTTTTTTTTCAATTAAGTGTCGGCTTTTTAAGAAACAAGAATCGGGTTCTATAAGCTCTCCCCTAGTACATTATCTAATGAATCTTTGTAAATGATCGCACGTCTTTTCTTCGCATTAGGAAGGAGAGTAGAAAGATTTAAAAGATGTAGAGGAGCACGCGAACCTGTGAAAAATATTGCTCATGACACGAAAGAGGCGTACTCTCTAATGGAAAGTGGAAAATAATGAGAACTCAACTTACTTTATATTAATGTGAAACTAAACTTGATACATATTCGTCAAAGTAAAAATAAGAAATAGAAGAAGAAGAAGAAGAAGAAGAAGAGGAAGAAGAGAAAGAAGAAGAAGACTTAGAAGACGAAGACGAAGATGAATATAATGATAATGAAAAAGAAAAGGAGACAAATCTAAAAATGAACGATCATAATGATTTCAACGTTATCGTTATTTATAAACTATTATATAAGAAAAAAGAATAAAATGAGAACGTCGTTGATAACGTTAAAAACGAATGAAATTAAGAACGAAAGATAAGAGAACGAAAAGATTATTGATAATAATAAGAAGACCGAAGAAATGAGAAGAGGAGAAGCAATTATAAACGGAAGTTGAACTTCTT